ATCCAACGAAGCATCCTCATCTCCGCTACACCCATTTTGTGTACGTGTTGATGCTTCATCGCCCAACATTCTGTGCCATACAGCATCGCCGACCTTATTGTCGTCCTATAAAATTTTCCCTTGAACTTCAGTGGCATACGGACCCAGGACTTCACAATGTGGTGGGCTGAGCCTTGGAACTAAATAAGAGAATGGAAGAGAGAGGGCTGAAATGAGAGGCAAAACGAAAAAGAAATTTCCTTGAAATGGGATGGGACTATCACACACCCAAGCCACCACCTTTGACCATGCCTCGTTTACATCTAAAAATTAGAATTAAGAGAATAGCAAAAAACTTACTAGCTTGAAATTTTTAACGTGTTATTTTTATTTTAATTGAAGTACTTACCTTAGGCCCAATAAAATTGATTCCATGTTCTTTGCACATTTCAACAAATGATGCATTCTCAGAAAGGAAACCATATCCTGGATGCAACATTGTACATTTCCGACTGATGGCAGCAGATAAAACATTTGGAACAACTAAGTACCTGCACAAAGACATATCAAAATGGCCAAGCTTAATCATTATCATCTGTAACAGAAGCTGGGACAAAAATTTATTATCGTATTAACATAAAGAATGTAGTTCACAGGTAGAGTAGTAAAACAAGGCAGGCCGGCTTGAGCATGGCACAATTCAAATGGGCATGGAAGGGCTAGGTCACATCCTATGTTGTGCCATGCCAAGCAAAAGGCATGAGGCATTTAAAACCATTAGTCCATTACTGCTAGAATCTTTGTTTTCAGTTTCTTTATTTCACATCTTTACAAACAATGATTATCTATCCGTGATGTTACTATGTGTTTTACTTTCACATCTTTATAAGCAATGATTATCTATCAGTGATGTTATTATGTGTTTTACTTTCATCCTCGACTTCTTTCCAACAGAAAAAAAATAATAATAATCACATATTTGTAATCTTGCTAGCCACATCTTAGTAATTAATATAACTTTATAATTGGTACTAAGTGAGATACAAAAAGAATTGTAATGAATGATCAGATCACTCTTCCGTAATTACTGTACATTGAATAATTAAAAAAAGATATCATGGTTCCTTTCGGATTCCTAACTCATAAACTTAAATGGTTTTCAGAAAGGATTCATTTGTGATAGTTACAATGTTGGTTTTTTTGGGGGGGGGGGGGGGAAGACAAAGAACAACGTAACAAAATTTAACTGATCGACCACTTACGATTGACTGCTTGCTGCTTCACCAATACAAACTGATTCGTCAGCCAATTTCACATGAAGTGCATCCTTGTCTATTGTTGAGTAAACAGCCACACAAGGTATTCCCATCTCATGGGCTGTTCGAATAACGCGAACAGCAATTTCCCCTCTATTTGCCACCAGAATTTTTTCAGCATGACATGTAGCATGAAGAGCTCCCCCATGCTTTCTGGATTTAACACTAACTTGAGCACCCTGAACTCTCTGCCTTAAAAGTTGACTTTATTTCCCACCATAAAGCTACATTGAGAACTGCGGATCTCTCTAGTTCTCCCAAAAAATAAGCCCTTTCATTGACAGAAGAAAACGAAAACCAAATGTAAAGGAAAATGTGAATAAACAACAAATTAAGTATGGAGATTATAACAGAAGCATTAAGGTACAGGATTCTGAAGACATTAAACAAGCAGACCTTTGTTTTGTAATGCTATTTATCTAGGAATTCCAATACGTTAACCTAATTAGTTAGAATCTTTCACTTAATATCTGTTTTACTGCATCGAATAAACAAAGGTAAAGTTTTGAGCTTTTCTACAAAACTGAAGATATAAAAGGTAATTATCTACCAAGACATGTTCTTCAGTCCATATAAGAACCTAAACCAAACCTCAAGCTAAGTAAAACACATTTGAAAAGTCGATCCGTTTCAACATATAGAAAGCTTGCATCAACCTTGAATAATTCACTATCACACCGATCATATCGGGATTAAGATCAATTGATTAGCCACTCTAATTCCAACAAATTAGAACACCACATGGCATATGAAACCCAGGCCCAATTCAAAAAATGAAATAAGCAAAGGGTAACAGCGGTACTCACCGGAGTTGGCGTGACAGTCTTGCAGATGGGCATTGTGGCGTCCATTTTCGAAACAAAGCGACCTGAGTTACACCAAATAAACAAAACCAAATACCTCAGTCACCGCCATTGCAGAACAACAACAAAACACAGTATAATTTGTTAGAAATTGTAAAACTCTTTCGACAAAATCGAGCAGAAGCTAAGGAGGAATCAACCATTCGCAATTTCGCATGATTGTAATTCTATCATAGAAAGAGACCACAACCCAAAAAATGGGAAGTTGCTGCCATTTCGAAACGATTCAAATGCTATAAATTTGAAACTGGTACAGGGAAATACCTTGCTGAATTGGCCCAGATCAAGATCAGATTGAATGAAGAAGAAGAAAAAAAAGCCTCTTTGGTACCCCCAAGAGAGAGAGAGAGAGAGATGAGAAGGTGGGAAGGTCCGAGGGTAGATATAAAGAGAGTAGAGTTATCGATAAAAACGAGGGGAGCGAGTGATTGAAATCTCCGCCCACAAGGAAATGGGAAAAGTACCGCCAGCCCTGACAGCCGCCGCCCTCCCCCTTCCCCGGCGGCCACTCCACTCTCTATCCATAATCCTCAAAACGAGATATAAAACGAAAAGCAAAACATTAAATCGAATTCACAGACTAACCTTACAATGAGTTTAGGTTACTGTTGTTGCTGTTGACAATGCCAAATTGCCAATGAAGAAGAAGGAGGAGTGTGGGCCGAGCTGGGCGGTGAAGGGAGGAAGAGGAGTGGAGGACGGCTGACGGAGGAGAGCTAGTTAGATTGCACGGCTACTACACAGCCACTGCGGTGGCGGTGTTCCGATGCCGTGAAGGTGTACTTAAAACACTCATAAGTAAGTCCACACAACAATCACTAGCAAGTGGATTAGCAAGTCATGTGTAATGTGTTACAAGATATAAAATATCGATGATATCGTAGTCCAAAAACACGGAAATATCGATGGAAATATCGGGATTTTATCGATATCGATAAAAATAATGTGGAAACCACGGAAATTGTAAGAAAAACTTGGAAATTTTTATTGAAACTTTGCAGGATGTTTATTTAGTCAATTATCTATTAGTTTATCACAAAAAATTGGAAGGAAATGCATTGCATGATGAATTTAACTGATTTAAGTTGATTATATAGCGAGCTGGCAAACATTGTGAGTATAGAAAATATGTAGTAATTAATGAAAGAAGTTTAAACACACCATAATCATTTATATATAATGAATTAGTAAAAAAAGAATTCAAAACAAAACCATATATATAAATATTTTAGCATATTTTAGCATATTTTCATAATAAAAGAATGATAAAATGCAAAAAAAGTAGGGAACTTTAACGAAAAGCACCCGGTACTGTTCACTTTAACGAAAAACCACATTTTTACACTAAAAAGTCAATCCTGGTACTATTCACTTTACCCTTTATTTTGTCCTTATCATTAAAACTCAAAATTTTCAAGCCATTTTCATTAGTTTTCCTAAAAAAGTATCCAACAAACAAGTCCAAAATTTAAAAACACATAATTTTGACAAAAACAAACGCCTAAGACAAAGAAACTAAAAGAAAGGAAAAACATAAAAGAAACAAATAAATTAAAATAAACAAATAATAAAACAAAAAGAAAAAAAAAAAGAAAAAGGAAAGGGCTCACCTGGATTCGAAATCAAGACCTAGAGCCATGGAAAAAGCGCATCAAAAAGAAAGAAAAAGAAAAAGCGCATAAAAAATAAACAAATAATAAAACAAAAAGAAAAAAAAAGAAAAAGGAAAGGGCTCACCTGGATTCGAAATCAAGACCTAGAGCCATGGAAAAAGCGCATCAAAAAGAAAGAAAAAGAAAAAGCGCATCAAAAAGAAAGAAAAATTTGATGGGCGCAAGGGTTCGAACTGGAGAACTTGGGGATTGTGAGGACATGTTGACCAACACGTCCAAGTCCACACTGGTGTCAATTTTTAGCAACAACTATAATATATGCGAATTTAGCAGCTTATGTTCATTTCAGAAAAAAAAACCTAGCACTTTCTGTCTTGCCTCGAGCCCAGAGCCCCAAACGGCTCTTTGTCTTTCCGTGTCAGACTTTTCCCATTCAACAGACATGGCATGCACACATGTCATGCATCCATGTGGTGAACTTCTTAGGATTCCAAAATAAAGGCTAAGATGTGCCCCATTTTTCCCATTTCTGATTACCTTTTAGAAATCCTAGGCCTCTCTCAGAGATATCTCTCAATAATTCAAGGACCTCCTTTCATTTCACTCGGCCCTCTCTTCCCATTTCTCTCAGACCTCTCTCTCTTTAAGATCAAAAAAAAAAAAAACAAATAGCTCTCGTCGGCGCCGTCTCTCTCTCGAAACTCTCATCTCTCTCCTTTCTCTCTGCACCGAGACCCACATACACACACGCACACCATCGTACCTGTTTGAGGAAGACACCCATCGTCATCAGCAACCTTGTCTTTCTCCCTCTCATTCTCGTCTCTGCAACTCGACGACACAGGAACCCTCCGGCGAGTTTCTTGAATTTCTCCGGTTAGGTAAGCTTTGGTTTTACCTCATTCTGTTCTAGATTGAAGCTTAGATGTGAAATTTAAGTTCTATCTCATGTTTTTGCAAGGTTTTTGGGACGAAATCGGCTCGGGAATAGGCACACCCATCTCCGGCGAGGCCGTGGGTGTCAACGAACTTTCCGAACACCTCCGACCGTTTCACGGCAAACAAAAGTTATAAAAACATTCCTCTCGTCTTGTATTTCATTTTGATACCTAGATCGGAGTCTAGGGTGCTCTTTTACAGTCGGCCGGAGCTGTAGAAGCTCCGGCGTTCTTCTCCAATTCGCACATCTCCAAAATATCGCGATATTGTCGATATTATCGATAATGTTGCGATATTTTGACGAAAACTCAGTGGATAAGTATTAAAATATCGGTAACTCAAAAAACTGATATTATCGATGAAATATCGCCGATAATATCGGCATTTCATACCTTGTGTGTTACCATATAAGTGAACGACATGTGTCGCAATGTAAAATGGGCACGTAGAGTATATATCATATTAACAAAACAAAATTATTATATACAAATTATCTATTCTAAAATTGAGGAAGGCTTTGACTGTAGCTTAGCTACAGTAAAAAATTTCCCCCTTGATTTTGCTGTATTTACCCACTGTTGCCACCAAATCTGTGTTGGGCTGGGGTAATTACTAAAAGTTAGGAGGGTAATATTGTCCGTAGGTGCCCTAGGCCTATTTTTGGGTTGCTGATTTTGGGCCAGGTGTGTGCTTCGGAAGTGGGTTGTCCAATGTGCTGGGTTGCGTTGCACAGAAAGAGTCAAAATGACTCTTTTGCCCTCTTCAAACCAGATCTAACGGACAGGATCTGGAGGCACTTTAGTCATTCTGTGTTTAGGGGTGGTTGTTGTCGATGTCGTCAGAGGCATGGTTGTCAGAGGGGTTGATGGGTTACAGGTAGAAAGAGAGTTGACGAGAGGGGTTCCGGGTGGACAGAGTAGGGTTTGGGTGCAGGATTACAGGGAGAGAAGGTGAGAGGGTGGGTGCGGTCATGTTCGATTTGGGGGTAAGGTTCTGGGAAAGGGACGCGTGTTTGCTGCAGAGAAAGGGGGAGGTATGGTTTGCCCAGGGGGTGGGGTTGTGGGGAAGGAGGTGTAGGTTGAGGTGCGGGTGTAGGGTTGGTTATTTCCACACCAAACATCATCATCCTCTTTTCAGTAAATAGAATTAGTACCAGCTGAACAGAGTTCCTCCCTGCAACTCCTCCTCCATTACTGCATTCGAATTTTCTACAATGGTGAGTAATTCAAACGCTTCTTTTGTTCGATCGTGTTTATTTAATTTAATTTGAATTCTTTCCGATTTTGTTTTCGGTGTATGGGTTATGAATTTCCATGTTTTCGGTATTTATATGCAGCTGATTGCTTTCCTCGCTTTTTATCCATACCGTTTGGTTCAAAGAATGAAAACACGCATTGACCTGAGAAATCTTAAGAGTTGTTTACAAATTAGTAATTAACTTTGTAGTGTGGATTGCTGGTGTTTTGTTATACTCTATACAAAGGCTCTTGATTGTTCCTAATGGTTCTCTTGCTTAATAATCAGGTGAACATAAAGGTTTATGTGGATTTACGTGTTGGTGATGTTATTCGTTTTGGGCTGTGTGAGTATCTCCTTATCTTAACTCTCACTCTGCAACGCGATTGACCATTTCTTCGATCTCTGTTTCGTTTTCTCTTCAATCCTGCTTTGCAATCTCCGTTGTTCACCCCACCTTCTCATCTCCGTTGGTATTTCCACCAACCAATGAAGAGCCCGGAGTTTGAACATGAAATGGCCAGGAGGCCGCCCAGTGCAAGGTAGCTTTTCTTTTTTTACTTTTCTGGCTGAAATGTCTATGTGGGTTTGACCTAATTACTGCAATTGATAAATTATTGGTTTTGGTTGATGGTTTACCTTGCGTTGGGTTTTTCTTATGGGTTTTGCTTGCATTTGGTTTTGGCAGGTATATTTGATCTCCCTTGCACACCTCGCCTTCTCATCGTCGTCGCACACCTTACCAGAACTTGAATCAATGGTAACGTATAAATTGTATAAATTGTATGGATTGCACGCCTATTTTAATCTTCGTTAACGAAATTAGCGTTTAAGTTGAATAATTCATGCTCTTTTGATATTGGAAATTAGGATCTGATTTCTCAATCCTATGCTTCTTTGCTGTATAAGATGAGTTTGGTTATATTACTCAAAAACGGGATATTTTTTTTTCAGTGAGAAAGTGAAAATCCCTAGCCTTTAGATTTTCAAGTATTTTGTCAGCAATAATAATTTGTTTTTTCAGTTTTATATGTGTGTCTGTCTCCAAATATGAGGATCTCTTAATTTGCTTATGTAGCTTTTGTGGTATGATGATCTCTTATTTTGCTTTTGCATATCTTCTTTGCTTCCTCTGCTAGCTCTATATGTGATTCTATCTCCAAAAAATTATTCCATATTTCCTATTTTTATAGGAACCAAATCATTGAATACACATGGAAAATTAAAAGGGTTTTAGTTTTTGGATTGGTTTAAATTTTGTTGTTGTTATTGGTTGTATTGTTGTCAAATATTTGATGGGAAGTTTGAAATGGAGAACTTGGTTGATTGGGACAGAGAGAATCTGACAGCTGTAGACTCTGATTTACTGGCTTCGCAATGGAGAAGTTATTTCTCGGTTCACTTCCGCAGCGTAAACCAACTTCTCTGTTCAGTTCTCAGATATGAGGTTTCTGAGCTACCTCTTTTCTGGAATGAAACATTTGAATAGTACCCACGGGGATATCCCATTAATTAGGTCAGTTTTTGTTTAATTGGGATTCTTAAATTTGATATTAGAGATTTTAATTTGATTGGGTTTTGGATTGCATTGTACACTGTTTCAGGTATCTTTAGCAAAATAGGATCTTTTTTGGGGATTCTAGAAGTTCAGTTGAACGCTAATATTAAATTTCTAACCCCGGTGGTGCCTCTCTCTATTTGAGTTTGAGTTGGGGATGGTGGACAATGAGCAATTTGGAGATTTATCGTAGTGCAATTTGTCATTTCCACGGACCACCTATAATACTGGCTTACATTTTTCTTCTTTTTTCTTTGCCTATAGTAATATTATTGTTTATTTCCAAGATTTGAGTTTGTCATTCAGAAGAGATGCTTCATTCAGAAAATTGAAATTTCCCAAATATTTGTTAATAGTTGTATCCCTTGTAGAAGGATTTAATTTTCTTGGATGTCTACTTTTGAGCTTTAAGTTTTCATGTATCCAGCATTACTAGACCAAAAAAAGCGCAGTGTCGTGAAGTAATTAGGACTGTTTATGTTCCTTTTTTATTTTATTTTTTATGTTGAATTGACAAGTGGTTTTAAATAATGGATAATTTTTTTACTGGATTTAGTTTCTGTGTTTGGCTTGAGAGTAAATTCAGAGAGCTAAAATGCTGTAAAGTTTGAATATTTATGTTTAATGTTGTATTGGGTTTGGATTAATTTTGTTTGTTTGATATTAGAAATTGAGTGATAGGGAATTTGCGCTTTTCTCCCTTTTGAATAGGGTTTAACTCATTTCTCATTTTCTGTTTGGTTTTCGAGAAAATTGAGGGAAAAAAGATAGAAGATTAATGAATTCACTGAATTGAGTGCTTTAAGTCCATTTATGATTGAAGTTATTCCGTTTGCTTTCATTTCTGTTTTTGTTCTTTTGGGTTTCGAGCACATTGAGGATGGTAAAATCAATTATTTTGATTTTGGAAGTCTACTTTGTTTTTCAGCTTTAGTGCTTGGGATAAGCAAAAATGTGATTTCATGTATGGTGGTTGTATTTGTCTGTTATTTGAAAGGAATTCAAACAGAGAGAGAGGGAGAGGGTAGGTTTGTTGTCAGTGAAATTGAAGGATGGTCTGATGTATCCTTGCAAGTGAACTATATGCTCGCACACCCTCATCCAGTGGAACCTGTAACTGATAACTGCAGGTTTATCCTAATTCTCACTAAACTGGAGCATATCTTTATTGGACTCATGTTAAAACATCATGCGCCTACATTACTCTCAATAAGATTCCTTTACATTAAGTTTATTGAGCAGTATAATCTTATTTAAGTTTTAATTGTGCATTTTGATTTGTATCTAGGGTGACTGAATGTTACTTGTTTTGCAGATATTTTGTTCTACGTGTAGAGGGGAACATTGGTGGGCTTATATACTCTCTAACCGTTGCAATCTCTAATGATTTAGTGAATCCTATTATCCTATTGTTGGAACAATTCAAAGAGTGTTTTAGCTTGTATTTCCCTTCGTTATTGGCTCCTAAGATAGATTTCCCCCCTTACCCAGTTCACTGTTGTGCATTTGACCTATAATCATACATGGGAGATATTGGGTGAAAAATTGTAAAAGGATGTTTTGAGAATCATCTAGAGAATACCTCTTTAATTCTCACTTTCTCCTTAAGAGTTGTAGTTCTGGGCAGTGCGATGGTGAGATATTTTTAAATTCGTTCCAATTATAGTAAAAGGTAGCATGCTTTTCTTCCCGTGGTTCACCCATCTCTTGGTTATTTAAATTCTCATCAGCTCGGTTCACCCATCTCTTGGTTATTTAAATACTTATCAGCTCGATTCCCTCATCTTTTGGTCATTCAAATTCTTTAGAGATGCCTGTATTGATTTGTGATTTTGTTGGATTTACTCTGGTGAAATGTGTGTTATCTGCATTGGTGCATTTTAGGGCGTGACTCCATTCGTACCATCTTTGTAGTGCATCTTTCTGTGCAAATTATTCATACCTGTTGTGGCTAAGGTTTTAAAACCCGCAGCAAAGCGCGGGCAATTTTTCTAGTATCACACTAGACTATTATATTCACAATAGAACGTAGGGGTGGAAAAAATTCCCCAAAATCCCGAACCAAACCGAAAAAATCCCGATCCCAAACCAAAAATTTCCCAAACCGAAATTTCGGTATGGGATTCAGGATTGGCTTCTCGATATTTCGGGAATCCCATACCGAACCGAAAATATATAATATTAATTATATATATATATTTATACATATATATATTATATATATTATTCTTTTATAATTGATGCTAGTAGTTTCTAATTCATGCTCCGCAACCTGGAATGTCCTACATCTTGCATATTTTTCATGTTCTGTTTGATATTCATTTGGATTTTGTTATTGTTGCTGCCATGACTGATGATTTCAGAAGGCTTGATTCTTTTGTCTCTTAATAGATTGCAAAAAGGATTAAATTAATTTGAATTTTGACTCTGATAAAAACAGTAAGGCATGCCAGTTTTAGATTAAATGGTAGTGTGAATGAAATGACATTCCTAGTTCATGAATGTGTTCTTGAATTATATATTTGAACAACAATTCATAATTTCATATTTCAATTTGGGATTCCCGATTTGTCCCGAAATCCCGAAAATTTGGTTTGGGATTGGTTTTTAAATTCCCGTCCCGAAAAATTTTGGTTTGGGATTCGGGATACTAGTTTCGGTATGGTATCCCATACTGAACCACCCTAATAGAACGTAAGACATTCTGAGTTGAAGAATAATTTAATAAAAACCAAAGCAAAATCGAGAATAGTTTAACCATATGGTTGATACCGTATACACCTAGAATAACACAATACATTTTATCTTCATCATTTTTTTCTATTTGACAAGACATTATTCTAACTGAGTCTAATTTAGATGGACAAAGAATTTTAATTTTGATGTAAGAGGGCAGACTTACATGAAGGAGACAAAGAAAGTAAGTATGAAATAAATGTGCTTTTGTCACAAGCATTTTAGATTTTACTTGGCAAATTCAAAGGCTTATTTGTTTTTTGCTAATCAGGTACGCTTAAAATAAAAGAAGATATTTGAAACGTTTACAAAGCATGAAAACATTCCCCATGATGCATAAACCCCTCTATGTTTATATTTTCCTTTCGATATATATATATTGTATATGTTCATATATTTGTCCATATATATATATTTGTTTCATGCATCGCACAATTAAATTGTTATGTGGAATTTGTGAGTCAAATTATATAAAATAAATTAGAAGTAAATATGGGTTTCCTAAACCCTAGAGGATTTTGAAAAAAAAAAATGGATTGGAACTTGGGATTTGCGGCACCACTGCCGTGGCAACACCACTGCATCACCGTGGATTGCATTGACGAGATGGACCACTTGCGCAACCCTATTTGGGTCTGCTGCTACCTCGGATAGCACCAAGCCTTGGCTTGGGTCCATGTCACACGGGCCTGCAGCCCTGCCCTCTTGTCTCGGCCCACGGCATGCATGTTGCAACCTTTATGGTTGCTAGGCTTTGCAGATGCTCCGTGCTCGTATCACATGTATCCAGCCCTTGCAGCTGGGCTCCTCGCGCCACACCTACAGGCCAGCTCTTGCTGGGCCTTGCTCCCGTGCCTACCTCCTTGGTCCAACACGTCAGCCTTAATGGCTGGGCCTTTACCCCCTTACCCAGTGACCTGAAGATCACACCCGAGGCTTTTTGGGCCATGCCTTTTTACTCAAGGCACCCAACCCGAGCCCAAATTATTTTTGGGGCTATATTTTCGACCCATAATATTATTTAGCTTCTACAATCAACCCCGTATGGCCTGATTTATTGAATTAATTAAAAGTGACCTGCAGTCCATTAATCTGATAATGAATCCAAAATTATTGGCCTGAAGATCACTTTTGGTCATTAACGATTCAATAATTTATTTTTATATTTTGAACCGTCACATACTTTCGTAGTAATGAAGTTCTCACACTTGAGTTCTTGAAGAACCTCAAATCCACTATATTCAAATTAGTATATTGCATTATGTGTTTCTTGCAGGAACCTCTCATTATGAACTAATTGTTCATAAAACTAAATTGAACCTGTAGTTTCAAATTTAGTGCATTTGAAACCTGAAGTTTTCATTCAAAACATACCACATGAAACCTGCAGTTTTCATGCATAAGTTAAACCAATACATGTCTATAGAACCTGTATGTTCTACGATATATGTCTATGGCTTACCATATGACTACTCATGTTTTTCCCTCTGTTTTAGGGACATGTCGAACTTGAACAAACTCAATTTCTCCGTTTTAGAAGTCTATGGAAGAAACTATCTAAAGTGGGTTTAAGACGTGAAGCTCCATCTGACTGTAAAGGGTATTAGAGCCACCATCTAGGCACTTATCGTCGACAAACCTGTTGACGAAGCTCAGAAGGTTACTGCAATGATCTTCATTCGAAGACACATCCATGATGCACTGCAGACTGAGTATCTCACTGAGGAAAACCCACACACCCTCTGGCTTGCTCTGGCCGACCGTTTCGATCACCAGAAAGACATATACTTGCCTGAAGCAAGACACGACTGGCAGCATCTTCGCTTCCAGGACTTTAAGTCCGTGAATAAATACAACTCTGAAGTTTGTAGAATCCGTTCATTGTTGAAATTCTGCAAATTGGAACTCACCAAATCAGATCTCCTGGAGAAGACATATTCGACCTTCCATGCCACCAATATTGTCCTGCAACAACAATATAGGGCACATAAATTCAACAAGTTTTCGGATTTGATCTCTATTTTACTTCTCGCTGAAAAGCAGAACCAGCTTTTGATGAAGAATCATCAAGCTCGACCCATTGGCTCGAACGCCGTTCCTAAAGCGCATGCGACCTATTTTAGGAGCCATAAATGACGAAAGAATCGTCGTGGAGGTGGCAATGGGCGGCAAGCCCAACCACGGGCCTAAGGTCAATAGAATGCTGCACCTAAGGGAAGAAATGTGACCCAGCAGCGTCCCCCACTCACCCCTAAGGCCCCAAACTTCAAGAACAAGGGCAAAGCTCCCGTTCAACCAGTTTCTACTGAATTGGGCATGTACTATCGTTGTGGATTAAAGGATCATTGGTCATGAGTATGCCGAGCTTCCCTTGAGGCTATTGCTAAGTATCATTCTCGTCGTGAGTCTAACTTTGCACATGTGGATCATTCGGAAGATGCAACTATATCAATGGAGATATCAGATTTTTAGGAGGCGTCAGCGCCTATGGTGAATAAATTTGACATGTTTTTAGGGTGTTTACCCTTAGTGGCCGAACCCACTAAGAGTAGCCGGCCCTACCCCCTATTTTTCTAGGTTTATGGTTTAATTTTGAACAACTTTTCTAAGTATTTGGAATAATTTGTTTGGTTTTGGTTTGTTTTGAATTATGGATTGTTCTTTGAATGGATATTATTTTCTCGAATTGCTTAATTGAATGAATGGACTTATATTTATACATGTGACCAATTCAATCAATTTATTTCTAGGTGTGTCTAGTGGGGAAGTTAGTTGTATGACAGATAGTGCAACCACGCGCACCATCTTGCCCAAGAAAGCTCTTTTGACAACTCTCTTAGGCTCATCCAACCTGATTGAAGGATACGGAAAGGAACGTATCATGTTGTCTAATGATACAATCTTGACCATTAAGGAGGCACTCTATTTTCCACGTTCCAGAAGAACGTTGTTGAGTTTTAGAGATATTCAAGATAATCAATATCATATTGAAACCACTGAAGATAATGGTTCTAAATTTCTTTGTATCACTTCATACGAATATGGCAAGAAGCGTATTCACGAGAAGTTGGAACGTCTGCCAAGTAGGTTGTACATCACAACCGTTCACGGCGTAGAAGCCCACAGTGTGGCCGACCCTATGCTTGAGTTCTAGGACACTTTGTTGCTTTGGCATGACTGTTTGGTACATCCTGGACGTGATATGATGAGCCGTATCCTTAAATCTTCACACGGGCATAGGTTACATCCCTATGTTGGACTCCCACCATGCAAAGTGTGTTCTTTAGGGAAGTTGAATACTCAACCTTCATATACAAAGATTATTCACGACCCCCCTAAGTTTCTTCAGAGGATTCAATGGGACATTTGTAGACCTATCCAACCAACCTGCGGACCATTTCGATACTTTATGGTGTTGGTTGATGCATCGACAAGATGGTCACGTGTTTGCTTGTTGTCCACACACAACGCCGAGTTTACTAAACTCCTAGCTCAAATCATTAAGCTAAGGGCTCACCACCCTAATTATCTGATTAAGTTGATTCGACCGGATAACGCTGGAGAGTTTATGTCACAGACTTTTGACGATTATTGCATGTTAGTAGGGATTAATGTGGAACATCATGTGCCCCATGTTCACACCCAAAACGGCATGGCAGAAGCTTTCATAAAGCGCTTTCAATTGATAGCTCGGACTTTGGTTATGAGAACCAAATTTCCAATATCTGCCTGGGCTATGTAATATTGCACGCATCTATGTTGGTCCGCCTGAGGCCCACCGCTACTCAACCACATTCACTGTTATAGTTGGTCATCGGATACGAGCCTGACGTCTCGCATTTAAGGGTGCTTGGGTGCGCCATTTATGTGCCAATAGCGCCGCCACTACGTACCAAAATGGGTCATTAGAGAAAAATGGGAATTTATGTCGGTTATGATTTGCCATCAATTGTTCGATACTTA